TTTTTTTTTCGATTGATGCACTAATCATTTATTTACAATTTTGTGCTCTTTGTAAAATCTTGTAGCGAATTATAGATTTTCAAATAGAAATGTCCTTTTTAACAACGTAAGTTTTATTTTGACGTACAAGATTTCGCGTGCTGAAGGCTTGACAGAGAATCTATAATTGGGTGGTTGTCTTGAGATAGAATTCCCGAAATTGCAAAGTTTGAAGCATCGTAAGATAATAGCGGTTCTGAAGTTGGCAGATTTTTACATGTGTTGAAACATTCTATAAATTCTTTTGTGTGTTCTACCTTTTCGTTTTTCTTTAAACACTTTGTTAAGGGTTTTGTGATTTTGGCAAAGTTTTTGATGAACTTCCTGTAGTATCCTACGAGTCCTAAAAATTATTTTATGTTTTGCTGTGTTTTGGGAATAGGGTAGTTTTGTATTGCCGTTATTTTATTGTTGTTTAGCCTGATTCCTTCAGGTGTGACTAGATGCATTCATTTTCTTTGGTACTTCCAGATGGGTGATGACCAAGGGCTGCATAAGGGGTCTTATTAAGCCTTTTTCAAGCATTTCGTCAATTTGGCGTTGCAGTTCGTCCTTATGGACGTACGGGTATCTGTACGACTTTGTGTGTATGGGAACATCATCCGTTGTCCTAATTATGTGTTTTTCCTTTGAGGTGAAAGTTAATGGGTCATTTGCTTTCTGAAAGATATCAGAAAAGTTTTTGCATAGTTTAAGAATCGCTGATTTTTCTTCGGAATTCAAGTGGTTGATTCGAAGAAGATTTTCAATATCTGGATTTTTCTCATTGGTGAAATTTTGGAAATTTTGAACTACATTTTCAAAAGTGTATAACTCGTGTTCATTGGTTTCACAGGAGTCGACCGGTTATGGTTCATTCAAAGTGAAAGTTACAAATTCATCGGTGTTGTGGTGTGGTTTTGAATTTCAATAGGAGCAAATCCTTGTGTAGCTTGTGTTACAGAAGCTGTAATTGTGCAGCTTGAATTGTGTTCTGTTAAAATTTGAAACAAAGAGTTTGTTATTTATTTTTGATGATTTTGCTAGCATTTCGCCTTCAAGTATATTTACGGGTACGTTCTTTATTAATCTTTCATGGGGGTTTAGAGTTATTGAAAAATTTACGTCATTTTGTGTTCTGTACTTGAATGAAATGCTGATGTTTTGTCCTACAAGTTTTTTGTTGATTAGATCGATAATAAACTTCATTTTTGTTAGATCGGTTAACCCTAAAACTCCGTCAAAGAAATCATGAAAGTTGAAAGGAATGAAGCTGATATTGCTGTTGGAACAAAATTCTGGGAATACGGGAATTTCGGCTTGAAAACGTGTATTTTTGCTACCAATTGCGATTTTGATTGTGTGATATATATGGTTTTGAAAATACTTTTCTACAATTGAAAGGTTGAGAATGGATCGTGAACTTCCTGTGTCTATAAGAAGTTTCAGTTTAGGGTTTTCGATTTCAACATAGGGAAGGGCGTCCGTAGAAGAAATGTTAATTTCTACTAGGGAGGTTTTTCCTGTTGGGCTTTTGACTGAAAATTTTCGGAATATTCTTTATTATCTTCTGGAATTTCTTGAATTTGGCAGGAAAGTTTCGAGATGGGTAGTTTGAGTTTGAAAATTCTGGTTAATAAGGCGTTGAATGGAAGAGTTTCTCGATATTCCAGGCATTTGAACTGCTCTTGACAACAAGTGTTGCGGGTTGTGTTTTGGTTGGAAAACAACGTCCGAACACTTCTCTGATCGTCGCGTATCTTTTTGGGGGTAGTTCTCTGGGTTGAACATGAACTGGTTAACAAGGAAAATTTGGTTTTGGAGGGTTATTGTGGTTTTGTTCAAAAAAGTTTGGAAGATTGTTTTGGTTGTAATTGTTGTTTCCAAAGAGATTTTGATGATGGCTGAAGTTTGGTTTTTGATTTTGAAAAGCTTGGAAATTGTTTGGTTTTAGTTGGAATGGAAAATTTTGGAAATTTCTGTTTGAATCTGAAAAGTTACCGTACAACCTTTCGAAATTTTCAAATTCACTCACATAAAATAGCATCTTCTAGAGATTCAGGTTTCTTGATGTACGTATTGTTTTTAAGTACACCAGTGCATCCTGCAATAAAAGTGTTTAATGCTGTTTTATCATAGTAGTTTATGTGGCATAACTTTTCGTTAGTACTGATGTTTGGACTGTTTATTTGGACTACTTTACTTCTGATCAGCTGTAAACGGCTTCCAAAGTCAATTAAATGTTCATTTTTGTTTGGACGCGTTCGCGTTAATTCTTGGACTAAACAGTCTAAGTCTCTACGATCAGCAAAGCATTGTAACAGGGCTTGTTTTAGTTTAGGCCAGCTATCTAGTTCAGCTCTATTGCCTACCATAGATGCTGCTCTACCAATTAATTTTTCTTGAACACACTCATAGATGTGTTGATCTAGATCGGAATCATTGAATTCGCGATATGTGGCTATTACATTGTCACATCTTTTTACGAATTTGTTCAAACTATTTACGTCTCCATCGTAAGGTTTGATATTATCTAGTTTATTTTTTAGTAAATCCCAATTTATTTTTGCTTCGGTTTGTGCCATTTTGTTTGCTTTGATCGTTATTTCGTTTATTGCTTGAAATAAATCGACGATGTTCATTCAAAATTCAAAGAAAAACAAAAAAAAATCTTAAATATCCCAACCGGATGCCTTATTCATAGGGTCTAAGATGGGGTAGAAGCGAGCACTTACAGTATTATCAGACTATGAAGGCTTTCACGGCCGGTCAGATTACAATTAGGAATGTTTTCCGGGCTTTGAAGCCGTGGTCTATCGGAATTTCTTCCTGACGTTTCGT